CTAAGACGTGACGACACATGTTCAGTTGCCTTGGGATACCTCAATCCTATGTAGACCTATGAAGTGGATAGCCATCACGCTTTAGATCAGAAAACCGCTCTGGCTCCGCATAACATTCACCTTCTACTAGTAAGAGACATCAAGTTGCACGCGGTAGAGGTTCTCGCCAGCAATACTCCGGCCATAGTCTACGAGCACATTGTCACGTCACGTCCGGTACAAGACTTACAGAGACGAATAAACCGAGCACTCTGGACCTCGTGTTTAGTAATGAGGAATTTACGATAGACACATTAACAGTAGACAGCCCTATAGGGCGCAGGGATCATGGACAACTCCTTTTTCGCTATGTCTGTTACGCAAAACTCTTCATCGAGAGCATCGAGATAGTTATCCGACCTTGTACAGGTCACTGATTGGTCCTTTCTATATCAACAGTCACCAGAGATCGATTGGGGGGTGGGGGTGGAATTCGTCAACCAGTTCGGCAAGTTAGTATCAAACGCATCAGAAAATACTAGCTTTTCAGCTTCAAACATGTAAACTCCACCCTATGGAGTAAGACACGGAAACAGAAATCTCGAGAGCTTCATTTTGAAAGGCACGCAAAGTCAATCCACAAACAATTTGAAATACCAACAGCATTCAGTGGATAAGTTTTGTCCCACTTCTAAGCTGCCTTGCAGGTACGCTAAGTAAGTGCAAAGTGCAGTGAAACAGCCACTTCCGTAACTTCGCATGTGGGCAAGCGCAAACTACGCAAGGAGCAGCTATTACACTGAGACATCAATTCGCTTATACTATCCAGAGCGCATCACCATCCCTTACCATTCTCACACAGATCACGTCAACAAAAAAATGTCATATATACTTCACTGCCGCGAATGCGCTGAAGCGTATGATATCCTCATGTGGATACGGCTTCATTGGTTTGTATGGCACTTGCACAAATACGTTGAAATTGGCTCCGATTAATTCCGCTCTACCGTTAGCGAATATATTTTGACGATGACTTTTGAAGTGCAGTTTTACATACTGTGAATGCATCACTTCCATCTAAATGAGGGGCAACCCTGCAGAACCAGCGGATTATCGCCCCATATCACAACTTCCATTGACCACCATGACCATGGAGTCCATTGTATTTGTGACGGTCGTGCGGTAACTAAAGTGTAACAAAATTCTCGTTCCGGAGGAACACGGATTCCACAAAAATTAGCTGTGTACTAATAGCTTACTGATGGTTCCTACACGTCGGAAGATATCTGTGGATGCTGGTGTGGAAGTTGATGTTGCCTATATGGAATTCTCAGAGATATTCGACCGTCTGTGTTGTATAAGAAAGGCAACAGAAAAAAGCGGGATATGTATTCGCACTAAACACACAACCTATTCAATTTTAACAGTTCGGATTTTACACAAGCAATGTAAACTGAGTTGCTGTGTTTCAGCCAGCCAATGAAATGCGAGCAGATTGGACATCGTAATGAATCGGCCACAATAGTCTAACTGGCCGCATTTTACTGCACAGGCTTCAGACTTGTGAAATTGGCGATTCCGTTCTGGGTTGGACATTCAAGTTTCTCCTTCAACGTCACGTAAATGTGAAGCTTCACAGTACCCGGATTGACCCGGTGCGGTGTAACTCGAGACACGATAGCCTGGCTTCGCCTGTCCTGGTCCGCATAAATGACATCACGAGGGTTCTGGCTGTAAATTAGCTAATTTTCGCCAAAGATATAATGGTATTGCGCGCTATAACTACAATGGAGGAACACACAACCTTGCAAGATGAACTAGACGAAGTTTACACATGGTTTATGGAGACGTTGCTACAGTCCATGGTCGCCAAATGCAGGGTTTTGAGCACACACCATCAAAGTACTCAGGACTATCGGATACGTCTACAAATTCCACATTGTGTTTCTCGTGAGTTCGGTATAAGAGTGACCTTTTAAGGTGACCTGCATTTTTTCAAACAGTCTGAATAAACAATAAAATCAAACCGAAATTTCAGCTTCCTTCGTAGGACGTTTCATTCATTCCGTGAGTGCTTGGCGCGTACGTGAGGCCGCAAGTGGAATATGCTATCCATACGTGGTAACTCTGGCAGAAATTCCACCTCACCGTACTCGAGAATGCACAACACAAGACGACGAAGATAGTATGTTGCACCTTTCCTACCAACACAAGCTGAAATCCCTAAAAATGTACAGCGGACGTTATAGGCGTCTACCGGGCGATCTCATAATGAATTAAGGAAACCTAAAAAACCCTAAGCACACTTGTTAGCGTCATTCGAAACTGGATCAGAACGCATGTCTGAAGGAGCCATAAGTTTGAGGTGGCCACGCAATTCAGCCAGAGGGAAGGTCAACAAAACATTTCCCATCTCGGATGGTCGCAGCTCTGGAACTCCCTTCCAGGGCATGCAGTGGTTGTTCCCGCAATATCCCCAACCAAAAAAACGAGTTGACAACATATTGATACCCGTAAACTAAATGACATAGCCCGTGCCCATTAGACGATGATATCATTGCAGAATAATGAGTGGTCGGTAGCAAATTCCTTTTAAAATGCAGGCAGGTATACTCCCACGTGTGCCAGTGCAAACCTGTTGCTAAGTCAAGTATCTTGCACGCTGTAATATCGACACAGTGTTTTAACTTGTAGTTAGCATTATAACCAAACTACGCTTTGCTATCCGTTATAAATCTTCGTTCCATTGCTGTATTTCAAGCGTTCATTCTGTATAGATTCGGATCCCGTGGGGTTTGACGCTGGTACGCTGGAAATCAAAATGCTTATTGAACGTAGTACCTGAATAAATTTTTCGTTTGATGTGTATAGTCTAAAAGCATGGAGGTGCGAGCCATTGAGACAAGCTTTACGATATCTCCAACATACTATGTTTACTGATTTGGTTTCCTCTTGCTCAGTTTAGCGTAAGTGCTAAAAGTACATCGTTTGAGACTTTTTCATTGTTAAGCTGTATATTTCAATGTTACCCCCACTGGACCACTCGAAGACATACTTTGTTGCTAGCTTGATGAATCTATGCCTGTTAGGATTAAAAACATACTAAGGCAACCTAGGAAAAAGCAAATGATAAGCGTAAACATCACGAAGTCCACAGATATGTAGCAAGTTCGTATTCGATTATTTTGGGTCCGTCAAGGAAAGTATACATTGGAGTTAAGCAATAGTGTGCTAAGAAAATTTTTCACTAAACATTTACCCGCTGAAAAGGACGCCTTTAGCAGATTTATTGTCAAATGTACCTCGCAGTGGCAATGAGCGTTTATGTAATGGATATATAATATATATAATTTACAAACGCTGGTAACTCTTCAAAACCGTGAAATGTATGAACAATCACACTCAGCAACCAAACCATTCTTTCTCTTTGTACTAAAGTACATCTGCTTTCTAGGTAAAACGAGGTAATTGTTATTTCGACTAACAGATTTCCATTCTAGATAAGGTCCGAACTACGACTGTTGTAACACACTGTTGCTCCTGTCATATTGAAATGGGTGACCAATTACACGTGTAACGCCCCAGGGAAGACCGGCTGAACCCATGCGTAAACAACGAGTCACGTCAAAGACTATAATTGTATCACACCTACGATTACATTTGCCTAAGCCCGTTACTTCGCAACTAGTAATTTCCCGAGTACAATTTACATTGAGATGACGAAGGTGATTCGCCGGAGGCATTTAGATAATGACAGTAACATTCGTACCCACTTCATTCATGACCAATGAAAAATAATGTGGCTATCATGTACTAATAAATTTTATTTGTTTCGGACATACCAGCTGTTTTACCGAAACCAGCTTGTATTTCACACTGCGAAACGAACGCCCTAACCACTCCCATGGGGTATGTTGTTCTGTAATTAGTAGAGCAAAATATTGCAAATGACATCGTAGTCCACAGTTGTCGGCCCGGTACCGTTTGAAACGTATGTTTGTGCTTACAATACCCTAGCCGTAAGATTAACTGTTGACTTTTTCTACCAACCTTCTACACTTATATGCAGGCTGATAACCTGTATTCTAGGGGTATTGTACCAGCATAAAGACAATTCGCAATTCCTATGGACACCGCTTACTATAAGCTGAATATAGTTGACATATTTTTTTCTTGTCCATCTCTCCTTGTACTAGTTTACTTACCCGTTAATTTGTTGCACTAGATTTTTTGTCCAGCTTACACTACAGCTTTGTCGAATAAGTTCTGCCATGACTGATTAGACTCACTTTCCCATCTCAACCCATGAGTGCATGTCAAAAGCCTTAGTGGACAGTCCTGTAAGACAGAACGCGGACAAATTAATGTGCAAAGAAAAACTGACAAATAAGATTAATGTTTACATAAAGTCCCGAAAGTAAGCAATAAAGGATATACTTAGCGGCTTTTAATAGATTCGCATTAGATGGATTTGGTACAGTTTTAAAGAACGTAAAAACAAAAGCCATGCGGAAATAATGCATCGGAACAAGCAACGAATGGCTGTTTCGTTTTGTCGTGGACTAACATGCAAACATTAGTCGTTACCACTATATTTGAACCAGGAATACTTTATACCACATCTTAAGAATCAGATTCGTCGGTGTCCTGTGATTCAATTTGCTGCTAATAGGTCCAGATTGATTTATCATTTATCTGGGATAAGACGGTTGCTCACAAGTACTAGAACCCCAAGCAGTCGTAAAATGCTAGTTGTGCTATGCGACACAGCCACAGTGGGTCCTGGCTACTCCTTAGTCCAGTAATCATAATAAAATTGAGCAGTGGTAGCGTGCTTATTGAATCGGTATAGCTTCCCTCGTGGTAAAGGGAATGTGTATTGAAGAAGACCGTAAAAACTACAAGGCTGTGTGTATCCTCTAGGATAGCTGTGAGCAATAAATATAGAACAATTTCCAAAATATTTCCACGTGCCTGGACTTTGCAAGATTTGTAATCTTCCTTTTTTGCTTGTTTTTTAGCTGTATCCATCAGTTGTGTCCAACAACGTGTTCAAAATGCACCCTCTGAAGTCTGGCATTATCTATCTTGCTAGTCTTTCAACGGCAACAGCGAAACAGTACTTCTCGATCTCCTTGCAAGAGTGTCTTGCCACAAACCAACACTTTGACAATAGTACCACTCTCTGTGATGTCGCTAAAGATGTGTTCCCTATCAAATGTACCATTCTATTTTTATACAGCCTAATCACGTTTGTCGGTCTTGTGGGTAACTTTTTGGTTGTTTGGGTTGTGGCGCGCACCAAATCCATTCAAACGATCACAAACATTTTCATCGCCAACCTTGCTGTTTCGGATATTCTAATGTGTACCGTAGCCACTCCATTCACCCCGCTTTCATTGTACATGAAAACATGGACGTTGCCGGAAATTGTGTGCAAACTGTTACCAATCACCATGGGTGTCTCCGTCTACGTGTCCACACTGACATCCACTGCCATCGCTCTGGATCGCTTTTTCGTCATCGTGCATCCATTCCTACCCCGAATGCGTGTCTGGTTGTGTTTCGTAATAATAGTAACCATCTGGATTATATCGATCCTAATCTCCATGCCACTGGCTGTTTATCATCAAAAAAGACAAGATAAGGAGAAGCAAATTTGGGCTTGCCAAGAGAATTGGCCAAAAGAATCTTCTCGTGAGGTATTCACCATTGTGAGTTTCATACTTCAGTTCGTCGTTCCGTGCAGTATCATCACGGTGTGCTATTTCCGCATCAGCCTGATTCTTCGCATGCGACTTCGAAGCAAAATTGGCAGTGGGACCAAGAGCCGTTCGCAAGATGTGAACGAGATCAGGCGAAAGCGTCGTACGAATTCCATTCTAATCGCCATGGTGGTGATTTTTGTGATTTGTTGGATACCACTGAACATGTTACTCATTTCCACTGACGTGCTTTCCGAAAGCCACGCCAAGATAATCAACAACTCTTCCTATTTCAGCTTAATTTTTCTTGTCTGTCATTTGATCGCAATGAGCAGTGCAGTGTATAATCCTTTTCTATACGCCTGGATGAATGAAAATTTCAAGAAAGAGGTGCGGCGCATGCTTCCTGGTATTTGTCGAGGTTCGTCAAATGAAAACCACCGAACGACATTTCAAACATTTGCTGGTGAGTACAGTGCACTTCCAACCAACGAACGGCAATTATTCGCGAACAACGCACTCATTCCTTTGAAAGTAGTCAATGCGGAATTGAAAAGGGAGGAAGACGAAGCGGCGAAAGCAATACCAGAACATCCAGAGAGACCATTAAATGTGGAGTCAAACTGCGTCAAATCAAAAAATGATGCACCATTAGAAGAGTTGAATCTGCCGCAACCCAACGACGGCTTACAAAGGGAAGAATATTCGATGTCAAACATCCCAAGCCATTGTTTTCATCCGGCTAAGCTTTAATAATGCATCTCATTAGAGACGTGATCCGTGGTATCGTTACATGCGTCTGCGGCACACTCGAGATGGGCGAACGGATACCAATTCTCCACCCAAATTCATTTGGTGGTTTCAATTCTTCGCCAAACATGAAGCACAAAAACTCGCATATTACTCATGTACATTAGGTGTTTTGAATGTTGATTTGCTTTGTATGCTGCACATGTTTACCTTGGAAAACCCGTATTGTATAGTGAAGTTGGGCTAGTTTTATTCGTAGGAGAATATGGCTGGGTTACCAGAGTAGAAAGAAAGGGTTTTAGTTGAAAGCTGGTGATAAGCAGTACAACGAGAGCGGGTTTACTCATTGACACAGGATATCATATTTGGCTAAAATTTGAGGCAAATTCGCAACAGTAGATAGCTGGTATATATATTTATATAATGGTCTGTACGAGTTACATACCAAATAGTTGGACTAATCACTTAGTGCAACTTAATCTCAGTGACTACAAGATATCAAAGTAAAGATCTTCAAACCTTCCCAGAGCCCAAAAAATGTAACTGTGGGATTTACTCTCACTGCCTGTTTAGATTGAACGAAAAACGAATTCATTATTCTCGTGCACATCCGCACGCCTATAAAAATATTCGTTACAATTCAATTGCCAGGATCTTGTCAAGAATGGTATTCAGATGATCAAAAAGATTGGTGATATTAGTCCCTCAGTCGCATCCTAAAAATCATGGTTAGGCAAATTTGGGTCACTCGTTTCCTGCAGCAAGTAAATGACTTGTGTGCAGAGTACGCCAAGATACAATGTAGGTTAAGGATTTAATAGAAGAAGTTGCTTCCGCACTCAGGACTGGCGAGTAGATTGCTTCAGCGCATGGAAGAAGCAGGCCTGAAACATCGTGGTAATCCACGATAAGTGAAAGTAGAAACAAATGCTACGAATGCATGGTTGTCTTTTAAATAGCTGTCTTAAAAATGTGATAAAGTGCCTTCGGAATCCTTGTGTTCATGTTTTTAACAAAAGTATACAAGCGGTAGCTTCAGCTTCTATCTAGCCACCCGGGATAGGTTCAATTGGAAATGCACAAAGTGTTCACAATGTGTTTTCTCTTACTGTATTTACGACAGGCAAATGAACTTGAATGAAAACTAAGTACAGTCCAACCTTCGATGCTCACCATCTGTCTATGGTGACTAGTCGAAAACACCCGTTTTCTCCTAGAAGTCATCTCCCTATGCATGAACTTGTTCATCGCGACCACTTGTCCAACGCGACCGCCATTTATCGGTCTCTTGAGTGGTCGCCTTAGACAGTTTTGACTATATCAACATTAAGAGTGTGAATATCCATTTGCCTCGCTTTGACTAAGTTAAATCGAGAGCACACGAGGAGTAATGTCATTAATTCCATGGCATCCACAGCACGTAACAGCCGTGCACTGTAATATTTAGCCGCGAAACATTCTTTGAAGCTAAGTTCCGTAAAGTGTTGGTCGAAGAATATCGTAAATTCCGAGTATTATTTCCTCTCTACAATTGTCCTTGGAAAACTGTTCCAATATTTCATCATGCAACGCTCGCATTGTATATGCCTAGTAATACCAGTACGTATCAGTGCTATTAAGTGATTCTTAGTGAGCGCATGTGGAGTAGCCACCTCAGCATAGGGAAGCCATTCAAAATTAATATCCAGTTAGTTCCCATGAGGTCAACTAAAGTCCGACGATACGACAAGGTGGACAGACCCAGTTTTCTGCAACTGTTTTGGTACGGCCCTCTTCCCTACTGTAAACTGAAGATGTGCGTGGTAGAGATAAGTTAAATCCGTTCAGGTTTCGCCACGGGTAATCTGGAAATAAATGAGCGAGCAAAGCTCGAGCATTGGCCTCATGATGGACAAGAAGAGCAGAGTGGTAATCTGTTTAGACCCACTGAAGAGGCTGCGTTTGAGCGCCGACAACATTCGTAGTCCGTTCCCGTATGGACTTTTCGTGTTGTCTATGGTTCCCAAATCGTGTGAACTGCTTCTGTGTCCGCTTCTCAAAACTGGCCAAACTTAGAGCAATTCCATGTGCAATGCAAACGACATTTCATAACCATCGTATGCTCATCGAGACGTGAAGCATATACTATCTATTTCCGTGGGTTAATTTCAGCTAGCGGCCCCCAAACTGTGTTATGCTTGGGCATCGGCAGATGGTAGCATGTACCATTCTAGTCTTTCAGAATGCATTATGGTAGTGTCTAGCCAACCCCCAATCCTCTCGTAATACGCATTGAGCAAATACTTTCCAAAATCTACTATTGCAAAATTGTCATACAGCAGCCGAGATTTCGGGCGGACAACACGCAATATCGACCAGCTTCATCATCTACGGTCCCAATAGTCGCATTGCCTAATATACACTTCAAGATGGATCCTGGTCAATATTGAGATTGCAAGTGGCAATCCAACCGTCCGCTTGATAAGCGCCTCCCGCAGTATGGTCCCATATAGTGTACAGCTTTAGTGTTGCATGCTTACTAGCTTACACATAGTTGTACTGCTGGGTCGGCTGCATAAGAACAATATTTCACTACTTTATTTGTCCTGTGTGTTTTGCAGTTGGAACGCGGGATCATAGATTCAGTAATTGCTGAAGGTGATGCCAAGTCATCTCGTCTACTTAAACCGTATCCGAGGTGCCGATCATCCTACTTTGGCAAATTGTTTCAAGTCCTGCTCACATTTTGGTTGTGCCTACATATAGAATGGAGAAATGGAATCCAAAACCATGAATTAGAGATCGCCGGCAGATGCACTGCTGGCTATCTCAAGTAGATTCGCGCGCAAAACGTATCGATGCGGATGAACCCATTCATAGCGTTTGGCAGCACCCGTCTTGCGGATAGGTTGGGATATGATTTCAGTTTAGATGGTTATCTACTTTAAGCTAATGTTCAGACAGTTTAGTCTTTAAGACAACATGCGAATCAAATGCTTGCCAGATAGCACGCGTACTCAATACAGCACTCCAAGGGCGGCTTCGGTCTTGTTCGATATTCTGATGCAAAACACTTGAAGGACAAACATCATCGTCGAGCATATAACTCCTAGTGCAACAGCTACTCGCTCATTATAAGTTTTCACTACTCATTCAGTAAACGAACAGATTCATGCCATGACACACTGAACCTTGCTTTAATTTATAGCGCTCTGCAGAATGTCTTTCCTAACATCGATCTCATTATAGGCTGGAAGATTCTCGAGGATAATGAAGGCGACGGCTGCACTTGAAAACTGACTAACGTTTCGCTTGGGCTATTGATGAGAAACATACAAGGAGCCACAACTGGGAGCTTAGACGCCGCGGTCCCTTTAAGCATCCATAATACTCCGTTATCGATTGTCTCTTAGACAAAATATTGACTGCGCTTCCATAATATGTTAAATGATAAACAGGGACTTATTTAAAGGTTGTAGGCCTAGTACAGCAGCTGTTATCCATTTCGCTAACTTCCGTGTTGAGGGCAGGTGCGCAGAAAAGTCGTACGGTGCAAAGTATACAGCCATCCTAAATCCACGTGGCAACAAAACCAACCCAATGAACCCTTTGTAACAATAGTGTGTAAAATGTTGTACCAAAAATATTTACTTTCGTGTTGCAAGGGCATAAGGACACATTGTTGTTCACTACAGAGGAGAATTTGGAAGAGTTGAATGGGTTCAAGCAGAAATTCAGTACATTTAGACTTAGTCAGACAGCCAGCAATGGATAACTGTTACATGCTGGCTAGTCAAACAACAATTTCATCACTTTTTACAGCTTATCTGTTGTTTAAATCATAGGAGTTCGGCGAAACAAAGTTCGAACCAATGAGTGGTCGTTAAGCATCAGTGACTGAACTTTTCTTTGAAACATCTGGCTCTCTCGTGAGCAGAGTATATCAAAGTAGTACGGGAGACTAATGTAATGCAAAGCTTCGCATGTCACAGAGAGATTTGGATGCACATTATTGAACCCTTTGGCTACAAGTGCAATGTTTGCAACCGAATTCATGACCAATAGTATGTCATTAACATGCTGTTTATATGAAGTTACGGATTTCATGATTTCTACTTTCTCTTCAGTCATGATCATAACTACGTACGTCAACATGAGGCAAATGGTCAATGGTGTATTGTGCATAAAAGCCAAAGTCTAAATTGTCGCGCAGAATGGCTGGTAGACTTAACGAAAGCAAAAGAGAAGACAGTAAACAGCGAAATAAAAAACAGGGAACTTGCCGGGCAAATTGTGTCCGTTTGAGTCATTCACCCATGGTTTTATGCAAGTTGAAGTGACTACCTTTTATTTTCCCGGAAAACAGGCCGTGAGTTGATGTGATTTCGTCTTAACTACGCCTATGATCCATATGTGTTATATCAGGCGGAGTAACACGGCCAGGGCATTGTCGACACGATGTTTAAATACAACAATCGTAGGGGCAGTAAATTATAGATGTAGCATTGAACCATGATGTAGGATGTTCTGGGTAGACATTATGCAATCCAGGTAATGTGAGTCGTGTACCCATCGTCTACCGAGCTATATGCCTTGATACATTACGTTAGTGTAATTCATAGATTGCATGCAAGCATACAGAAGCACGTGGGATGCAGTGCTCATCGACGTTAAGCGAGAGTTAACAAATAAGGACCCTCTCTCATGTGCCGCCTCAACAAGTCCACTTGATACATAAATCTGATAGAATGGCATGATTAAGGTAATCCACAATGTTACACTTAAGGTAGCGTAGTGATGGGTGCTAAGTGCAACATCCAACCCTTTAGTATGTCCAAAGTATGGGTGGTTACAATTGTGTTTGGGCGAGATTTCCAAGGTTGGCAAACCCGAAGAGAAACGTAATTCCGTCGAGTCTCTAAACGGCCGTTTTGATCCTTCAATTTCAAACAGTGACCTCTTAGCTTGTTGTGACGGTTCCAGTAAATGGTGACATATGTGGTAGCGGTCATGCAATGTGTGATACTCTAATACGAAATCGTCACGTAGCCTTCGATAGCGTTCGCTGAAAATCCCCAGCAACTACAACATTCGCTATTGCGGGTGATCGTGTACACCTTTGACAATATTTGCTGCTGTACTTTGTGGTGTATTTAGCACCTCCAGGTCGCGCCTCAACCAAGATTGCCAAGCTTGGATGGTGCACTCCACGTAACGGTGCGCGTAGGAATTGTGCACCATTTGTAATGTTGATGG